ATTGTCTTCATTCAAAATAGCTGGTCATTACATACACTTTAAAGTCTGGAGAATAAGATGGAGGTAACATTTTTAACCAAAATGGATTATTAAACCACTAAAATGACATCCTAACCATTAAGGTTGAAAAGTCGTGCCAAAATCCAGCAGGGTATAAGCTGCTGTTTGAACAAAACCAGGCAATGCTATGTGCCAAATTTACCATTATAAGAAACACTGTGGCCAGGGTCATCTTAAAAAACCACATAAACGGCTAAATTAACAATTAAAATATGCCTACATAGCTATTTACCCCTTCAATGGTATGACCTTGATAACATGTGTGTCAACCAATCATGCCAAATTGTGTTTGTTATAGTGATGGCCTGTTCTAGTAATGAATCTCAACCTTATGTATTTTTTTGCTAGATTTTGTTTTCAACATTATTTTCTGTCTATTCTTAATAGAAGAAACATAAAATACCTAAAACAATGACCAATTTCTAGGAAATTTCAGAGCATTCATCTTCCAATGGCAATATCTTATTAAAAAATAGTCGGATCTGATAGAAAATAGAAGAGGACACTCTCAGCACTATTCTCATCATGAATCTGCCAGGCATTTGATGCGCATTTGCTTCAAGTAGTGCGCAAATCTGTTTTTCTATGGGTCCGTACCCAAATCTGCTATATTTGGGTACGATGACGTCACGTGCGTACCCATTTTTAGCAGGTCCGTACCCATTTTTAGCAGATTTCTGCTAAAAATAGCAGACTGCTAAAAATGGCAGATTTTACCACAGTTTCCCCGACTGGTAATAACCGCTGCTACTCTCTGAACTGGAAGAGGCAAAAGCAATATTTACAAATAACATCAAATATACTGTAAAATGGGGTGTTAAGGGACAGTGGGGTGTTAAGGGACAGTTGCATGGGAAAAAACTTTGAGTCATATTAACTTCCTAATTTGAGAAGGTTCAATAAAAACTTCAGTGTGGTAGTTGACACTGTTTTGCTCTTGACCATAGGAGAAAATGGCATGGTTTTTCATGCAAGTGATTTGGTTCAAAAATGGATTTGAAAATCATGCTACATTTTCACAAAATTGAAACATCTCCAAAACTCTGTGTGTACCACATAAACTAGTGGGTGTACAGGGAAAATGAATGCATAGGTGTATTGTCACATGTATTGCACATGTTTCCTGAAAAACTTGTGCAAATCCACCCATTCATTCATCATCCTCTTCCTCTTTTCCGGATACATGCATATTTTGAGGTGGATGTGGGGTGCTAAGGAACAAGGAAGAAAAAATAAAAAATAAAATCTAAATATAATTTAATCAAGTAGGCATGGAAAACACCGAATTCCACATAAAATGCTGGCAAGTTCATGCTTTTATCTCTAACACATCTTAAGTTATGTAACAAAACATCTCAACACTCTCTTTTACAATGATGGGTCAATGGAGACTGATGTAAGTAAATGTAATGTCATCATAAAAAGGCTAAAACAAAGAGGGCAACATAATGACAAGTGACAAGCTTCAACATGGGTTTTTATTGATGACAGAAGATTACTTTTTGGTTCTGTTTACCTTATAATTAGCACATTTTCCACAAGCGTAAACTGCATTGCACGTAATTAGCTAAAAAGGCCATTAGTGGTGAATGAACCTGACTTGTTTTGTGACAGAATATGCAAAACATTTCAATAATTAAATTGTGTGCCCTTCCACACCCCAATTGTGGGCATTTGATGACCATTTCTTGGAATAATATAGGTGTCCCTTAACACCCCACATTGGGGTGCTAAGGGACAGTGATGAAAAATAATAAAAAATAATATGCAGGTATAAATCTTAAAAACTTTAATGTGGCAGGCACGTAAAGCACCAAATTCCACATAAAATGCTGACAATTTGATGTTTCTATCTCCAACCCTTCTTGAGTTATATAACAAAACACCTCAAAACTGTCCCTTAACACCCCATTTTACGGTAGTCAATCAGACTAAATTATTCATACATTTTCTTCCCCATTTCCAAATTTGTAAGGAACCTTATGAAAAACTTTGGGAGATGAAGAGACAACAAAGTTAAGACAACAAAGTACAGATTATGATGCAAAATCAAAATTGCGATGCATAAAATCCTACAAGCCTTGCCTTGAATTTGCAGAATCTGTGATCACAGTTGGGCAAACTAGGCGGCGGAAATCAAAATATGGAGGCATCAAAATATTGATTCTAGTGGGCGGAGCTTTGACCATATATGGGCATACGTGCAGACCATCACAGAAACGTCAATTCTTCAGCAGCCGGCTACAATTTCAAGATAGTTTCTTCACAAAATGAAGAGCAATGTTGAAGCTACCCGCCAGGCACGAAACAATAGCCCTAACCTCTTTGGTTAGTTTAGGAAAGCGTCTTGAAAATAATCAAGATATTGATTCATCACGGCGGCTAATCCCGGCGAGAATCAATAGTTTGATTCCGCAAACAGCTGGCTAATCATTATTTTGATTCTGAAATCAGCTGGTTTATCAATATATTGATTCTGCGAACTGACTTTCTGCAGACGTACCTCACTCTTCAAATTGATTTATGGAATGTTTCTTGTGTGCAAATAATGCAAATTCAGTAAATTCATGAAGATATTATCAGCACAGGATCGCGTAATTTTTTTCTAGACCTTATTCCCACGGTAGACCAGGGATTTTCAGCACTCACCCTGGCTCCCTGCTCAAAGCTGCAAGCCTTCGAGGGAATGCGTTAAGGGAGCCGTGCTGACCTTCGTATAGGGGTTGTATTGAGTCGGAGCCGGAACCGAAGCCTGACCATTTTACTCGGAGCCGGAGCCGGAGCTGGAGCCGATTTTTTCCTCCGGAGCCGAAGCCGTCTGACATTTTCACGGCTCCACATCCCTGCTTTGTAACATTGATTTTGAGTAAAAAAAGTTAACTTATCGTCTTTCACGTGTTCATGAATGTGTTTCTACGCATCTGTATCACGTCCCATTTCTGTGGAGTACCTACAGTAAGAGATATTTCGCCGAACAATATACTCAAGCCCGTTGCACAAATTGCACAATTTGAATGAAAATATGATACACGGATGTATTTGCATTCGCAAATAATACGATGATGATATTCATAACACATTTCACAACGATCCCTGCAATTGCCACACATTTGCCATCACAAAGCCCTGTCGTTGATGCTCACATCCCATGCAAAGCAATACTCACTTTTAGGACACGTCTCTTATTCAATATGGTTACGTATTTGCAAAACATGCAGTTAATAATATTTGAAACTGAGACCTAACCAATAAGACATACCGTGGACAGGTAAGAAAAAACAAATAAACGTCTGGAGAATGACCTCAACGTCTCGATGTTGCCTAATTACAAAGAGCAATTTTCGGTTTCGAATCAAATACATCAAAACAAAATTGGTACAGATACACTCAATATAGGGTTTATGATTAGCACGGCTACCTAAAACATCAATCCTGTCAGGTTGAGCCACTTATGTCCACACCCAAAGCAGGTCGCTTTGGAACACCACAAGATCCCATATTACCACCGAAAACGGTCACCAATTGGTCTACTGATCAGCATCTTCAGAACATTCTCGACCGAAAAGCTATCAGTCCTGTCTGTGTTTTGGTTCGCTTCATTTGGGCTATGCGCACGTTTTTCTACTCGGGTCCTAGGGACGAGATAGCAGTCATCACGCGCTGCACCAGCTCGTTCTTTGACAGGTTGGTGACGCTGTCGTCATCCGGCAGGATAAACACGTGGCGCATTTCACACTCGGCCCCGCCAGCCACATACACACTTCCTTACGTCAAATTGTTTCTCGCCACGAGATCAAAGTTCAAAAGGTCGTGATGTAGGTAGTCTCCACCCAGCCCGAGTCAGGTACTCCACCGGTTGGTCGGGTGCGGCCAGGTCCGCGAACGCCGCCCTACTTCGGTCGACGCTCTGGTTGACAGGGATGGCGTTGTCATACAGTTGCCTGTCGACTGAACAGCGATTCAAGACGCCATCCTTGACCCTCTGAAGCCGATCCCCGCAATGACCAGTGTTTGATCCTTGGTTGACCTGCAGCAAACAACAGAACACAATAATTAGGACATTTGTGGACAATAAATTAGGAAACTATATGTGTTATTAATCTACTTGTTCAGCAACTATTAATTTTAGAATATATTCAATAAAAAATTAAATACTTAATGTCACTTAAATTTCCACTGAACGCCACCAGGTGCGCCAACAACTGTCATCTCATGCAGTTATATAAATTCCTGAAAATCCTGAAAATTAACTATCCAGCATTCCCTGGACTGACGTACATTACACGTAATTTTCTTGAAGATCACGCATAATGTAAATATGGCTTACACCATTCAGCAACTTGCTTTTGTTACACTTAAAATAAGCATCATTAAATATGTAGCAAAATTGGGCGAAGCAATTACAAGCCAAGCATACATACCTACTATTAAGATAAGGCAAACACGAACATGCACTACGACCTTTCAATCTTAACTCGGAACAAGTCAATAACCTAGTTGCCCTTAAAAATTAAAATGCTACAAATTAAAGTTGTAGCAACAATTGGGTGAGTGAGACACAATCAGAGGCTAAAACATCCAAATTATGTAAAATACTGGACATGCACTGCCCCCATTTCATGAGTCCACCTTGAGTCCACCCAACAATTCTATCATGTGAGACAAAACATTAGGCTTCTTGTAACTAATTTGTACCGTAACTTTTAAAGGACATCATATTTCACTGAAATACTACACCTCAGACATCATTTTCAAAAAAAAATAGCTTAAAAAGACAATAGAAGAGTGAGAAGGCGTCCCGCGCCGCTGACGTCGCTACCGCGCCATGTTCCTAAAACCATCTCTTAAAACGAGTTTTCGGTAAGAAACGTTAAGATCACATGCCTGAAATTGAAAAACACACTTCAAAGTATCTTAAAATATGATCCATTGTTACTTACACTTCAGAAAAGGTCGCTTAAACAAAATACAACCGGGAGCACTACGTTGCATCTAAACACCCACGACGCCGGCGCGAAATGGCGGGAACCGGAAATCGTGGCTAGATACAAAGAAAAAGAATATTTCTTATAAATGAATTATACAACTAAATAACGCATTTTTTATTTTCTTTTAGACAAAATTATGAAAAAATTACATAGGCTCGTCGTTAATGATAAACAGAGCAAGTTTTAACAGCACGTTTTTGTTGAATTATGGCGGCGAAATCTTTATGCCATTCGTAAAGGTACGCGCGACAAACGGCTGATAGCCATGCAGCGAAAAATTGAAGCGGGGAAGTTTTTTGTATTGACTTGTCAAAAAATCTCGCCGTCATGGGGGTTATTTCCGCCGTAACGGGTCGTCTGAAGGTGGGAATGTCCCAAATTGAATCAAAATATTGATTCTATGCCCATATATGGTCAAAGCTCCGCCCACTAGAATCAATATTTTGATGCCTCCATATTTTGATTCCCGCCGCCTAGTTTGCCCAACTGATCAGAATCAATCATGCAAATAGGCACAACGAACAATTCGGATCAGCGGATCCCTTGCGAGTTGCGACGGACATCAACAAGCTTTTGTTTTGTTGCACGGTATGTTTTGTTGGAGGGGGCCAAGGAGGGGGCAAGGTATATAAAAACACTGGGAGGGGGCAGGGGGATGGATAGAATCATAACAAAAGGAAATGTCTAAGGATAGGGTTTCTGGTTTTTGCTTACTCGAATTTGGGATTATGATGTCATGCATGCCTCTGTTTTGATTGGTTATTTTTCAAGGTCTTTGAACAACAACATATTTTTATGTTGAGACATGCTTGAGAGTGACTTTCTTTTCTTTTCTGCAATTTTGAAAAGAATCAGCAGAAACAAAGATGAAAAATATGCCGAGAAGGCTAATTGGGCTAATTGTAGATTAGCTTAAAATGTTATTTATTTAGATAACATTGATTTGGCAAGTTGATTTGCAACTTTCTGCTATAATTAATTTCCGAAATTCGAACAAAAATAAAAATTGATAGCAAAAATCCATCTTTGTTGAAGCACATGTAGATTTCCAAAACGAAACTGATCATGAAATTCACACTATTTTATAAAGAAACGGCAGCGCTGTGCACTTTTTGGGGTCTTTCTCGGCGCAGCAACTCGCCGGTTTTATCTCCGTCAAAATTTTGCTAAAAAATGATCAGAAACGCATTTTCTAGGGCGCTTGTCGCCGGAAGGGCAGGTTTTTTGCAAGTAGCACCCCAAAGTGCATCAGGTACGTATCGTTTAAAGGCTGCTTGGTATGTGGAAATAGTTAAATCACCGTCTTTGAATTTGTCTCAAGCTGCTTTCTAGTACAAATTCTTGTCTGAACAAAGCTTTGTATAGCTGTTTTCAACCAGAATAAACTAAGAATAAATAAATTAAAATGTGCTAAAAAATAAATAAATTAAAATGTGGCTCTATCAGGCCATCTGTGACCAAAAGGACGCGCTAGCTCTTCAAGCAAACCTGGATGCTGCTGAGTGCTGTACAGCTAGACTGCAAAGTATGACACGCAGCTCGACGAGGCGCACCGGCCCAAGTTCAAAATCCGCACCAACCCTTCAAACTGAGCCGGAAAATCCGCACTAAAGCGGGCCAAGCGCCCAAAAAATCCGCACTGAACCCACAGGCAATTATAATGCAAGGGACTTTATTCATCTCACCATAATTATTTCCCGTCCATTTCCAGTTTCACTAACCACTTGAGCAACACTCACCATGGGACCGCGCAGGTACCATCGGTACCGCACTTGTACCAGAAGTTTGAAATCAGTAGGCGGAACTATGGTCGAGCGTACCCATTTTCGGGAACGCATTTTCGTTCCCATTTTTGGGAACGATAAACCCAAATATGGGAACGCCATGTAGGCATTATTTAAAACAAGAAAAAGAACCGTTAAATGACGTCCAAAAAATATAAAATGATTGTGAACCGCCTGATATTTGTCTCAATATTGTTGGGAAAGAGTTTGATATTGTAAGGCCCACCGTAGTTTCAAATCGTTTCCCTATTTCTAAAGCAGTCCATCATCCGGGCCGCGAGCCCAAATTTGGGAACGCTCTCGTACACTGGCGCTGCAAGCGTTCCTTATTATGGGAACGGTGTACCCAAAATTGGTAACGATTTCACCGACGCCTTTCAGGGGCTCTTTTCATTAACAAGCATCACGTCCAACGCCGCAAATTATTGTTAACGCAACAATCATCAGATGACCTTTCCGGCAAGACCGTCGCATGTTTCGCCCGGTCTTCTGCGCTTTTATTTCCGTCGATCTCGCAGCGGGCACGCCCCCCTCTGCAGGATTACGTAATTCACAACGCTCAGCGATGTTCAACAAGGTCTTCCATACCTATATCCACCGTCCGCGCCGAGGGTGGAGACATGTCAAGCACCTGTCTGTTTATCACCGATAGTTGACGAGCACAAGAAAGTATCCAAAAATGGGAACGCTGAATATGTTACACCCTCAAAACACCTAGTCCCAATGAAAATCTAGTTTTTTCCTTTCTTGATGAGTGTAAGTGGCAAAAGGCCTGGTAGGATGGGCACGAGGAATGATTGAAATCAGCATAAAAATTATAAATAAGTCACACAGAGCGACCTATATAAGAGAAATTCCCCCAAAACGATCATGCTTAGAAACACGGAAGACAAAAACCACGCTCATGACGCTCCTTATAAAACAACGCTAAACAGCTAACATCCAAATAAAATATGTCTTTCCGGGATGATAAAATACAGCTGAATAATTTTAAACCACTGAAACTGAGTTTACAACAGTAGTTCGGTAAAATCACGCACGTTCTTCGCGGTCGTCCGCCCCGACACCAAATGTCAACAATATTACCCCGGGACTGTTCGCGCGTTCGCTTGCATATATCAGCATCTGGTGTCGCTAGTATGAAACTTCATAACCAGGCGAAAATTATCATACTTGACCTCAAAATGTAAAAAACGCTTCATTTTCCTTAAAATTGCAAGTTAAATGTAGTATAACCCATGTTTTCACCATTCCGTCATTTCAAAAAATCATTAAAAATATCATTCGACGGTCAATTTCCTTGTTCAACGGTCAGATTAAAGATAATTTTATAGAGACTTAGTAGATACTCAAATTAGCGTGCACTTTTTTGAGACGTGATGCACTAATGAGTTTTAGTGGGCGAACGGCCGAAAAATTACCTTCCGTTCTCATAAATGGGAACGCCCGTTCCCATATTTGGGAACTCCGTTCCCAAAAATGGGAACGTTCCTATATTTGGGTACTCATGACCATAGTTCCACCTACTGAAATAGAGCAAATAGATGGATGCCGGCGAAAACGGTGCCGGAGGGCATATTGGGTCACGTGACATTCGGAATTTCTCCCCCTCTGTGGGCCTTCTACATGCTAAATGTCACGGGTGAATTTCACGAGCCTTGATCAAATTGCCCCAACAAACTTTCATATAAATAAAACCAATGACGTCATTCCAAAGTAGCGTGCTGATTGGCAATTCAAACCAGCTGCTCGCAACCACCGCAACCAGTCTTCGTTCTAATGACGTCGTCATCATTCTATAGATGGCCTTGGTCATCATGATAATTCCTGAGGTGAGAATGGATTTGTTCTGCCGCAATTGTTAGTTCGTAGAGTGAATTTAAAACCTTGGTCCGTCACCGTGCGTCACCGTGGCTGGCACGCATTTGTAGGGCTTTCCAAAGAACGCCCTACATCAACGAGGGAACCCGGCCGGATAAGAAGACCAAGCGAAGTCCGCACCACACCAAGGTCCAAGCCAAATCCGCACCGCACCAGGTCGATCCGCACCGCACCACTCCAAAATCCGCACCAGCTGAACGAGCCCGCACCGACGAGATCTCGTCGAAATTGCCATACTTTGCAGTCTGGCTGTACAGTAGGGTAACGAGCTAGACGGGGAAACTGTGGTTATGTTCCATCTTCTATTTTTGGAAGCCCTCCATTTTTGGAAGCCTTCTAATTTTGGAAGGATTTTCCATATATGGGTACGTATTTTCCAAAAATGGATACGCTGGTGATGTAATCATACCCAAATATAGAAAATGTTGTGCATATGTTGGGACTTACCGATTTGCACCAAACACGAAGCAAATGCGGCTATCGCCCCTGGTGGCTTTAAATTTGTCATAATGAAGTGTCCATAATCTATCACTTCGATCGAGCGATGGTGAGCACATGGCGCGTCAGTGTCCCAAAATTGAGTTTTGTCTTGGGTGTCAGAGGGGAAAATTACCCACCAAAAAGAGGGGAGAGAGTGGAAAACTGCTGATTCGATTAGATCAAAAAGGAGTGAGAAATGACAAAAAGCATGCATTTTATTCTAGGGTGTAGAATGTTTGATGCTAACTGGGCATCCACACAACTGTCTTTCTATAGGTAAAAAATCTATGTTTTCTTGGTTGGGACTTGGGAGTGGAAAATTGTTCTTAAAAATGGTGGTGAGAGTGGAAAATGAATTTCATTTGGATGTCGTTTCCCACCCAAATAGACAAATTTTGGGACATTGTGGCGCGTGCTCTTAAGTGTAAATTCGCGTCATAGACTTTACAAGTACATATAAGTCGGCTTGCAAAATCGGGTGAAAATGGCTAAATTTGCCTGACACGGGTCTGGTCCCCATGCAATATCTCGGTAACCGTGGGCCTGATCGGCACGTGAAACACGGTATCGTGTAGAGAATCGAACGGGCTATCAAATGATGTGCGATGCAGGGAGTGGCACGCGCCACGCGCACTCGTGAGGTCACTTTTGCTTGAAAAATTGACGTTTCGGACGGATTTTGGTCAGGGTTGTTAAAAACCCAGGGTTTTTGGTGAAAAACCCAAAAACCCTGGGTTTTTGCAAAAACCCAGGGGTTTTCATGGGTTTTTGGTGGGTTTTTGGTGTTTTTGGTGGGTTTTCGTGTTTTTTTTTGCGGGTTTTTGATATTACTGGAGGCTTTTTGATATTTTTGTTCACACTTTGGTTGTTTTAGCTGTGATGTTTCATTAGGCCCTATGATCGTTGCAACCACGGTGGCTAAAGATAGTTGCAACTAATTTTACCAGACGTGTTCTATATCAATGTTTGTACCGTGGTTGCCATGGAGACCTGTTCAGATTCATTGGTTTGTTACGGGGTTGCTATAGAAACCTGAGTTCATAGAACAGCCCAAGCAAATACCGTTGCCTAGCAACCTCTTCGTCGGTCGCACTTTCGCCGCGCTGGGAGGGAGCGCACGGATGCGTAAAAGTGATAATGCCGCCGAAACCACAGTATAAACGCTCTTGTTAACCGAGTTTCAGAGTCGCCTTTCTTGCCCTGCCATCCGAAATTTTGACTACTTATGCATATTTTGGACACGGAAATCGCTACAGGAGACATTGATGAATGTATCGGTGTCCAGTTTTGATTTCCACGAAGCTATGCGCAGATCAGGCCACAGGCGTTCTTGAATATCGCGGATGTTCCCGATCTTCAGCACGTAAATGCCCTCGGGTGTTCTCTTGGTTTGGCGACGTAGGTACGGGAGCAGCCAGACTGGTATGAACTAAACTTTGTCCCCCCCCCTGCCCCAGCCTAGCCGGCGGCCCGCTGCATCTCGCGCCTTATGTTGCAGGGCGTCTATAACACGAGGCGCGCCCGGCAGCCTCCGCCGAGAGCAGCGCTGACACCACACCACATAATTGCAGATTCCCGCCAATCCAGAGGAGTGATCGACCTCATCCAGTCCACGTACTGGTGCACATGGACAACGAAACATTTTACTATTGTTTCCTATTAGTTGCTTGCTTCAGTTCCCATTCTAAATATAAAAAGCAGCTTAGAAACCCAAAAACCCACCAGGTTGGGTTTTTACTTATAACAGGCATTGATTCAGCGTCTCTGTAACACACTATAAGATGCTAGCATAAATTAAACATTGAATTAGGCCCAAAGCATGAAATACTGAAATGTAGAAGTGATTGTGGTGATCGAAACAATTCAAAGTTAAGGCAAAAACCCACCCTGGGTTTTTGCTTTCAATTACCCACCCAAAAACCCAAAAACCCAGCGGGTTGGGTTTTTGCTCGTAACAACCCTGATTTTGGTCCTTATACTACATATTTTTGGGTGACTGTCACTGTCAGACGGGGCGAATTCAAACAACACCTGTTGGCAAGAGAAATGTACCGTCTCTCTTGGGAAAAATATGAAAGCTAATTGATAAAAAGGTGGAAAAAATCGCTGGAGAAAATAGTATTTGTCCATGATGTGCCACTTGCTTAATTGCTGTATAGCCTGATACTTTTGACAATTGAAAGTTGCATCGTTGGAAAGAACATTCAATTTTGTCCAAGATCCAATCATCGCTTTTTCAAGACGAGCAACAGTATTCTTAAAAATATAATTGTTTGAAACCTCTCCATGGCAATTCATCGATGGCTTTCATTTTCAATAACCTACGTCAACCTATGTTATGAAATACACTTGACATGTTCTAATCTATAGTAGAACGCATGCTTATCTGACACGTGCACCTCGATGCGATGAATATTTTTCCCAAACCAAAATGTTAGCCTTCAAAAAGCAATCGACCGAAATGGATACATAACCCACGGACACAGGACCAACCAAACGCCCACCGATCGTAAATGCTCGTTATCCGCGTTGCGGAGCAAGCGGGTCACCCAGCGGGCTCCATCCACCCGGGGGCCGGGCTCCGTTCACCCGGGGCTCCGCTCCGGGCCACGTCCACCCGGGGCTCCGGGGCCCGTCCACAGGGGGCCGGGCCCCGTCCACCCGAGGGCCCGGGTCCCGTTTTCCCAGGGACCCGTACCCCATTCACCCGGGGGCCCGGGCCCCGTCCACCCGGGGGCCCGGGCTCCGTCCACCCGGGGGCCCGGGCTCCGTTCACCCGGGGTCCGGGCCGCGAGTTTCCTAAGTGTGGAACTACCCATGCCTAAGGTCTATGATTGGCGCAAGCTTCGCCGAGATGACGTTACAGGCTGTGACGTCATGGCTCACAGTCGGCCGACCAATCGCTGCACGATTATAGGCTAGCGGCGCGCGGCACTAGCGCCCCTGGTGTTATTATGGGAAGTTGAGCAATACATTGAAATCTAATACATATAGCTTGTGTTGGGAACAATTATGTATTACTAAGGCGTCAATGTCTCACAAATTAATTCGTCCATGCTCCTCACATTTTGCAAAATGACCTTATATTATGTGTCATAAGGTACTACACTACGCAGTACACTTCAAACAATCAACACAAAGCACCAGCCAGGCACTGTTACAAGTAGCGAGCAGTTAAGTGGCGGCAGGTGGCGCTACCATCTCCAGCATCGGTCCAGATGGCGTCACTCACTATCCGCACTATAGTTCCGCACTACCTGCTAATAAAATAAATAATAAATCCGCTAATAAATCTGCTAATAAGATCGCTAATAAATCTGCTAATAATAAATTCGCACTACCTGCTAATTTATGTCCTATTGGTGTCAAACATCATTCAACGCCGATAGGCAGTATCACCAGCCGTAATACTGAAGACATTTGCTCAATGCTGAAGCGAAACGCAGGGCACATTGCACAAACCACGCCGTCAAAACTCAAGCACCTCGTAGGAGATATGCTTCCAAGGTGGGCGAATGCACGAACGATAACTGAAATAACACCGGTTATATATTCACGTAGAACAAGTTACTTTTTCTCTAGCTAGGGAACTCGCTAAAATTAAGACTGACTAAATATTTACGCAGGATAACTGGCTCCGCCTCTTCGCCAACTTAAGGACCCGCCAATCCATGCACCTAGCCGCCAGCGCCGAGTGATGACGTCACTCGAACGGGCGACGGTATGAATAGTTCCACACTTAGGAAACTCGCGTCCGGGCCCCGTTCTCCCGGGGGCCCGGGCTCCATCTACTCGGGGGCCCGGGCCCCATCTATCCGGGCACCCAGTAGGTCTCTCTCTCTCTCTCTCTCTCTCTCTCTCTCTCTCTCTCTCTCTCTCTCCTCTCTCTCTCTCTCTCTCTCCTCTCTCTCTCTCTCTCTCTCTCTCTCTCTCTCTCTCTCTCTCTCTCTCTCTCTCTCTCTCTCTCTCTCTCTCTCTCTCTCCTCTCTCTCTCTCTCTCTCTCTCTCTCTCTCTCTCTCTCTCTCTCTCTCTCTCTCTCTCTCTCTCTCTCTCTCTCTCTCTCTCTCTCTCTCTCTCTCTCTCTCTCTCTCTCTCTCTCTCTCTCTCTCTCTCTCTCTCTCTCTCTCTCTCTCTCTCTCTCTCTCTCTCTCTCTCTCTCTCTCTCTCTCTCTCTCTCTCTCTCTCTCTCTCTCTCTCTCTCTCTCTCTCTCTCTCTCTCTCTCTCTCTCTCTCTCTCTCTCTCTCTCTCTCTCTCTCTCTCTCTCTCTCTCTCTCTCTCTCTCTCTCTCTCCTCTCTCTCTCTCTCTCTCTCTCTCTCTCTCTCTCTCTCTCTCTCTCTCTCTCTCTCTCTCTCTCTCTCTCTCTCTCTCTCTCTCTCTCTCTCTCCTCTCTCTCTCTCTCTCTCTCTCTCTCTCTCTCTCTCTCTCACAGAGCGGGCCCCTGACAGAAATGTTGGGGGGTCAGCTGACCCTCTGACCCCCCCCCCCCCCTGGCTGCGCCACTGATTCAAATCACCGGTCCTTGCAGAGTCGTGACCAAGGCGTGTTTCCAGGCGTTAGGCTTTGTCTCATTCGTGCATTCTCTCGAGTTTTTTACACGTGCATGCAATTAGCTTTGTTTTGCCCAATCAATCAACCAAGTTTTATCAGGCCAGGAAGCCGGACTAGGGGGTCGTGTTAAATGCATTCGATTTTGCAACTTATTCTGGGCACAGTAATGCCTTATCCGACTTACTTGTCTCAATTCGACCCTGCGAGGGCGCAAAATGACCGGCGCACTTTCTGTACTCCCCTTCCCCCCATTGAGTTTCGGGAAGCCCCGCATGATGCATACTGCATAGCATAGTAGTATGCTGCTGCATGGCCCTCCTTGGTTTTGGCTGGCCCTCTAACACGGGCCATAAGACTGCTGTTTCCCTGTCCCGATCTCTATTACCGAGTCAGGCGACAGGTGCCTGCCTGTCCATTAGCTCACACCCAGACCATAAACTTAAGGTGACCTGTGGGAAACAATGTGTCCATCTTCATACGGAGATAAACAACGTAGTATATAAAACCCGACATACAATGCCAAGTTGCAGGAACCTGTGAAGTAGTGAATTTAATTGAACATGTCTGTCCCGACTCCCAGAGTTCAGCTCGCAGATGATCAGACGCGGACTTTGTGACTCTTGTGATGACCGAACTTGTCGACGCTCTATTGAAAGTAACGTGTTCTGTCCCTCGTAAAGTGTTCGTTGTGTTGTTGCGTTGGTTTCAGTTGCGGTATGCCGCCACATGTCGAAGGTGGCGTGGACTGATACCAGGGCTTTGGTTTCAGTTGCGGGATGTCGTCACATGTCGAAGGTGGCGGAGTCGGATGAGCAGCTGACCGCCAGATATGTCCAGTACTTCGAGAGCAAGGACATCGACCACTGGTGGCTGAGCAAGGTAAGATTACGTTGGCAACCAGCTTAGCGGACCACGGGGTTATGTGCTTCAAACTTGCAATGGCGGAGTTGTGATGGCGTGCTTTGCAAGGTATCGTGAATAACTCCTCATCTGGTGACCTGACCTGACCTGACCTGACCGGCAGCACATCAACGACCTGGCCGGCACTGACGCCGTGCCGGAGCCGGACATCATCAAGGCGTGTTTGCACGCGTGCCGCCGGCTCAACGACATCGCCATGGCCGTCCGCTTCATGGAGATTGTCCACTTTAAGTGCGGCAATAGGGTCAAGGAGATCTACCCCTACGTGCTGCAGGTGAGCTGATGACGATGCAACAGGTTCAACGATTTGCCGGTTTGTAGCTGTGTTTAGTCATTTGCGTTTTCATACGCATATTCGATATATTATTCATAAACCTATATTCTATCGCATGTCAAAGCGTGCGTTCGGCATCCGTATAATCAGGGATAATTATCCGGGATCAGCGAGAATTATCGGGGATCACGTTCGGTATCGCGACAACAAAAAATTCTCCCCGATGATTATTCCTCGCTGGGGAGAATCCTCAGACCATGGATTACCTACTACCATGGTACTACTTCATCCATGCTCAGACCATGGTCGGCTGGATGTTTTCCCCGTTAATGGTGGGCGGTATTTTTTATAGTGGTGATCGAATGGTTTTTACTCTTGATTTTTAAAGGTAAATTGTGAGACATGATGACAGATTGTGCATGATACAATATCACAAATAACGCTGGGTGTTTGTAAGCTCGAAAATCAAAGTAAGTCAATTTGCTGTGACCGTCTGGGGATGACATCCGTGATGCCGAACGCTCAGTTGAGGGGATATTGTTCCGCGGATGATTCTCCCCTCAACGAGACATACCGAACATACGGTGTCACCAACAATTTTCCAGCCGAGAATATCCGAGTGGCAATATCTTCCGGATGCCGAACGCAGGCAAAGTAGGCGTTTTGTCAGGCATGTTTTCCGCTCAGGGCATCTCGAAGAATTTATTACATCACCATGACCAAACCAACAAATATAGTCTTGTCATGCGAAGCAGATATGTTAAAGCAGATATTATGATTTAAGCAGAGATCGGATGACAACCTTTCATTATATCAACGATTTATGGTAACCTTGAATCACCTGTTGTAGCCAGAATGGGTTATTTATCAAATGTGCGTATGCGTTGTCGGCATTTTCAGCGGCGCGCCAGGAAGTAGGCAACCCTTTCCTTTCAGTTGTATACACCGTCACCATTTCGCACCTGTTCCTTGGCTGTGTCTTGGTTTTCCGGCTGCACTCGTCAGTCCGTTACATCACTCGTTGGATGGCCGCCAGCGATGATGACTCATCAGATTAGGACTTATTTGCCAATCTCGATTTTGCTCGTTGTGAGCTCGCGTCACGTGAGCCGACTGGTGGCGCCACTGGTCGTCTGCGGTCAGAGCCAGTGGTCGCCCCTATACCGATTACCCAACCGTGTCAGATGAGGCCGGGAAGGCTGTGTCTAGTTCTGTGGGCACATGAAATGCTCGATTCTGAACTTTGTCTTCTAACCATAATTCGTCTAACCACAATTTTCCGTTTGGGCAATAGGGGCAGGACAGGCGCAACAAGTCAGTCCGTTATCAATGGCTCATCAATGGTTCCGACTTCTGAAATAATCTCATTAAAAACGCCAACAGCTAATAATCCGTGCTGACTACGTCCTGGACCCCCAGTTTCCCAAAGGCGATTATTAGCCTCTGGTGTATCCCGTACGTAACCGATGACTGTTGTCGCTGACTTCCGCCGGCCGGGTCTGACCTGACTGCCCTCCGGTCCGGCCGGGTCTGACCTGACTGCCCTCCCGTCCGGCGGGTCTGACCTGACTGCCCTGCCGTCCGTCCGGGTCTGACGTGACTGCCCTCCCGTCCGTCCGCAGGAGGTGGGCCCCACGCTCAACGAGCTGGGCATCCCGACCCCGGAGGAGCTCGGCATGGACAAGCCGCAGCTGGCGCTGGAGGATGTGTACGATATGTGAGAGCGAGGCGCGCGCGTATGTCCGCCAAGACTGCTTAGCTGAGACGGGTGTGGGGCCGTGCACAGCTGCGGACCGCCCAGCCACCGGCCAAGTGTAATTGATTGTATGTCAAATGCTATAATACAAACAGGATGACCGGTGCACTGTGCTCTGTATTTTGGGGAGATGACGTCATCAAATATGAGGGTGGTAGAACCAGTGATGCCCGCGATGCGTATTCTTGTAAGGATAGACATTGAATGCGTAACATGTTCACTGTGTCACACCGCTATGTACTCAGTACTGGAAAACATAATGTAAGCAATGTGCAAAAATGGGTGGAGTTTTCCCGGGATGTCGGTGTGGCAAAAAGTAGCCAAACCTACCTACTATGATGTCCTATGTCAAGTTTCAGAAACTGCTAGGATGAAACAATTTCCTTCATTACGGAAATAATCTTGAGCATAACACAGACATTCAAAAGCTTGTCAATGCGAAAAAGAGTGATTTGCAGTCAAAATAAAAAAATGACCTAACGGGGCACGGGCCCGGGGGAAATTATTCACGTGGGGAAAAATTCATTGTGATTGTGTGGGAGACAAGTGAGCACTTTAAACGATCACGGTTCTATAAGCAGCATGGTCAGGGTCAGGGGTGGACAAACGTGCCGAGTTGGGGTAGCACAGGCGCAGTAAATCTCCCGCCGCCCTAGCGGTGACCAAGGCCATATAACCGCGGTGACCTTGACCTCCGCCGTCTGTTGCGGCTCCGAAGCCAAGCCGGCGTGCGAATTGGGAAAGCTCGTGCTACCCCAACTCGGCACTATTATCCGCTCCTGGTCAGGGTAATGCAGTTACTGAAAATTCAAAATTTCGCTTCAAAAGATAGGACAGTGGGGAGCACGCGACCAAGGCTATAGAACTCCTACGCGAACTCGATTGCAAAATGGTCCAATGACGTCATCCTGTATCACGTGCTGAGCAAAGCAGTCAGACTTGAAAAAGTGTAACCTTGCTCAAAGATTGCGTTATATTTTTGCGTCTTTTGTGTGTGTGTGGGGCGTGAAGTGGAAATTGATTGCTGTTTTTGTACTTTGAACGGCTTAACAGCCTTTATATTGGCAATTACATTAATCTATAATGTTCCTTCATAGCTAGAAATATGTGGAAATCATAGAAGTTACGAAATATTCGTTCCAGCCTTGTATTCTCTAATTCATTGTGGTGAGTTCGCATGTTTTTCTATTTATGCGCCTTTTTCTGGATCAAATAAAATTTGAAATTACTTTGGAGCAGTCCAATTTTAGTCCTCTGATTTTTGCTTTAGCCATAATCACATCAAGTTGGATCGACTTTCTAATAATTTGCATTATTTGGAATGCTCACTTTGATCTGCGAAACTTGGACTCACCTGTACGGTGAAGATAAAAACATAATCAAACCTGACCTTACCCTACCTTCTGACCTACAACATTGAACCCACCAACCTACAACCTGCAAATAATAACTAACATTCAACCTACCAACCTAAAACCTACAATCTTCGGTATTAGTATATATTAGGTTCGGTATTAGTATATATTAGGTCCGAGTGGACAATTGTGACGCTGTTGATACAAATATGTAACAGCAAGAATTTTAGGTTTAGGTTAGGTTGTAGGTTTGTAGGTTTTAGGTTTTAGGTTGGTAGGTTTGTAGGTTTTAGGTTGTTAGGTTGTAGGTTTGTAGGTTGTAGGTTGGTAGGTAAATAGGTAAGGTTAGGTCCGGTTTGATTATGTTTTTCTTTTATTTCCAGGACATATAAGTCGGCCCCCGGTCAACAGACATGGTAGCCCAAATCTAGTCGGATATGAAAATTCTTCTAAATCCATAGACTTTAATGCTAAATTGACTATATTTGAGAGGGTTTTATGAAGATACATGACCAGATACAGAAAAAAGCGAGATGCTATCTTGTAAATTAAATCGTCTACTATCTGCGACTTTCGAAGTGTTTTTCAATCTGAGGTACAGAAATCGTGTTCCCAAGAGACTGAAAGTAGCCATGCTTTACATTAGACCCAATGGCAAAAATTCGGAGTCTGACGAAATTGGCCATTTTTACGTCTGATTTATGAAAAGTCAAGACAGGATATATAAAAACCCGAGATGCTATTAGGTGGGAAATTTCATTGTCCATTACTGCTTTTTGAAGTGTTTTTTTATCTGAGACCGGCAAATCGTGTTCCCAAGAGACTGAAAGTAACCCTGTTCTACAGCAAGACAACGGCAGAATTCTAATATTTGATGGAAGATATTTTAGGTGATAATAACCTTACTACTAACTACAATGCTTCATTGGAAAGCTCAACACTGGCACTATCATCGGTCTTTGCATTGCTTTTTCACAGAACAACAAGAAATAACGTTTTGAAGCCTTTGAATATTGACTTACTTTTCATCGACGGGCTCGATCCCCATCACCACCAACAACTTTCCGGGAAGTCAGGATTTTGCAGATATTTAAGCAGAATTGCAGAGCTGTGTTAATACTACGGCACTTAAATACACATTTTAAGAAAACTGCTTTTTTTCTTAGCATGAGTTAGGTCTCAGAAACAGCAACATGTCAATATAATGAGGAAAAATAAGTGCAAATGATCACGCAAGAGAGTATCCTTAGCTCCCTAGCAACCACCTAGCAACGTAAGGCAAAATAGTAAACAACTCCTATTGATATCAGGTACTCAGCCTTGGAAGCACACTAGACGGTCACCATACTGGGCTTCATACTGAATTTTGCATACCAGAATGGATGTTTCCAACTAAAATTATTTTTTCGCGAAATTTATCTTTGTTGCTCTACTATTTTTTGTAAAACCGAGATATACAAACTTCATGATATCAAAAATAATATTGTGATAATGAAAACCGCCATATAAAAGAAGATAATTGCTGAGATCATGCCTACTAAACTTGGTCCTACCCCCTAATTCAATATACCCTGATATAAGTATCATTTTTGGATTCAGGATGTCAAATAATGTAAGAATATGAAAACTTTATCTTTTAACAGTCACTCGGACTTAATGTATACTTTTACCCAATCTTCAACCTACAACCTAGGTACCAACCTACAATGTGCCAACTTATCAGCCATATTTCATCTACACATATACCCAACCTACAACCTACCTCACAAACCTACAACCTAAAACCTGCAGTGCCCAGTGTGTCCAAAATCGTAATGTTGCGGGGAAATCCACCCATAATGAAAAGCATAATGACATCCTAAAAATATAAATAAAAACATCCACACGGCAGTCACGACTTATAATAACAACCTCGAACCCAAACGTCTGGGAGCAAGAGAAACACAAACCTCGCAAACTCTGACAACACGACAAGACAACCATTCGAATAACCAAAATGATAAAATATATGACCCGACTTAAAAACTTCATTTATCATCCCGAATATCAGAATGCCCTCAATGTTCAGTTTCTACATCATTTTCTCGTGACATGTATAAAACAGTGCTTAAAAAGGGTCGAAGTCAAATTTTATGAAAATAACGACATCCTTTCCGGCCATTTTTTTCTACATCCTCCCCCTAACGTAAAATGAATTTAGCCACACTGGCAGTGCCTCTCCTTGGCTAGAACACCTTCATGTGACATCTGCTCTACTAATGCTCAATTTTCTCATTCTTGTCCACCCTGACCCATTCTGTTGAAGACCATACTGTGATGGAACATATTTGTAGTAAAATGCTTTATCAAATCCATCATTCATGTTTCAGTATATTTCAGACTTTGCTGACAGCCAGCACTGCTCACTTTATCCCTTCATGACCTTTTTGCAGTTTGGGGTTATTGTTTGCAGGATCATATGCAATAAATGTAAATTTGCTTACCTAATTAGATGCTGCCCCCTAGCCAGGGTTTTGATGGAATTGGGCCAGCTGCACTGTTCAAGGTCAGTGTAGTATTATTTTGTGATTGATGTTAACTGACTACTTAGATAGGTGCTGGTCTGGTCACCATGTCTGCAGTCTGTGGCTGGTGCAGGTCGTGTCTGGTAAATCTATTTATTTCACCAAATTTCTGTCATCAATTACATATGGAGGAAGAAATGCCATTTCAAAGACAAGAATATGACATCTAGTTACTGTTGTTATCAACAGAACATGCAAAGCCCATTTCAGCTCCAGTTCCTCAGTCAACATGGAAAATAGGGAAATGTGTGCTGCTCAGTAGCTTGCTTGAATCTTATTGGAGTTAATGAACACCCTATCTCATTAAAGAAGCTTAAATTCATGCTGCTAACACAACTATGTTTTAGCTTTGATTTTGTATATCACATAGCTAGAAATCAGGGATGCGGAGCCGTGGAAATTTCAGACGGGTCCGGCTCCGGCTCCGGCTCCGGAGAAAAAAATCGGCTCCGGCTCCGGCTCCGGGTGAAATGTCATGGCGGCTCCGGCTCCGGCTCCGAGTAAAATGATCCGGCTCCGGCGGCTCCGGCTCCGGCGGCTCCGGCTCTGGCTTCTACTCAGTACATCCCCTATGCGATCAATTAAATACGGGTGGAAGAAAAAACGCGATGGGATTGGTACACGTTGCTTCTGTATTTGTATAACAAGGCTATTTTGAATACCACATTGTTTTACGCCTTCTGCTGTCAAACCGAACTAGGTAAATAATTGTTTCCTCTTAAGAAAAGGAGCCGGAGTCGCCCCTTTTTTTGGCGGCTCCGGCTCCGGCTCCGGGCTATATTGTTTCACGGCTCCGGCTCCGGCTCCGGCTCCGGGCAAAATATGCCGGCTCCGGCGGCTCCGGCTCCGGCTCCGGCTCCGGCTCCGCATCCCTGCTAGAAATTCATAATACTGAATAAATTGTGTTAACAATAAAGGACTGGACTTGACTGCAGGACTTTTAGGGAAAGACATGTCTTCAGCTTGCTCCTTAGGCTCACAATAAATGTGGGATGTGAGCAGGGAGCAAAGTCCCAATTGAGCTAGCACTCCATAAACACTAATCAGCATACAGTAAGGCTACATGTAAGCTGGCACAACCCTGCATTGTCCTCCTGATTGTTATAAGAATCACTGGGCTCACCCTGTCTGCTCACTTTCGCCTCACCTGTCCAGCTGGGTCTTGGGGACTGAGTTCTAACCTCAC